GTATTGGGTACTTATTTATGTTTTATCTGCATTATAATTGGAAAAAACGGTTTGGGGTGTTAAAAGTATTAATTTTTGATAATTAAATGAATGAAAAGGAATGCAATAAGTTTGCCATCAATTCAATGATTATTTAATTACAATTCCGAGGTACAAACTCAGCTACAATCATACGTTTCAAACATCAATATGCTTACAGTTTTAATTGAGAATTAAATGATAATCTACCCGCTTCATTTAATTTTAATATTTTTATGATTTTGGTTTTAATTCTGTTCAGTTTTCATGATTGTATTTTAAACCGAAGATACCTAAGATCTACTTATTTTGCATTTGGTCTTTGACTTCTTTTGAAGCATTCATTTACATAAATTGAATTACAAATCAATAAGCTACAAATACATCTCGAGTATCTTATTATTGCATGCTTTTCTTTGCTCTCAAATTAATGAGACATTTTCTTCAATATTCTTTTACTCCTTCGCTTTCATGGAATATAAGTCCTTCGCCTGCTTCACCCTATTTGTTATGCCAAACCTTATTCTTCCTATTTTTAGTGATTTTGTTTGCCTTGTCGGAGCATTATTAATTTGCAGCCGGGAGATTACCAATCCGTGCATACGTTTTAGCCACCATTTCGGAGGCGAGACTTGCAGTCAGTTTTCTTTTGGGGGATCACGCAACGGGGAAAATGTTAATAAATGGGGGGGAGAGGGGAGGGAAAGCTGTCGACAGCGCAGTTTGCACCTGCCGGAGCTGCGACCTCTGCCGCCTTTGTTGCCTGTGCCACATGCTACACGCAATCTAATTTAGCTAGCGAAATACGTGCTAAGCGTGGAAATGGTTAAATGGAAAAATGGCGAATTGGAAAGGCGGAAAAATGGGGACAGGCCACGCCCCGCCCCGCCCAGTTCGAGTGGGCTGAAGGGGTTATTTCACGCAGCGGTAATAATTCGCCTAATGTACTAAGCTCCCTAAGCCGATAAAGCGAGCTTTAACTCGTTGCCGGGAAACTCGGCTTCACCCAGAAAAATGATGGACAACATTTTAGGTCATGCATAGCCTAAAACATTTTAAATGGACTAAAAGTTCCTTTTTAGGTCATGTACTGCCTAAAAATTTAAATTTTTGGTATATTTGCCCTACTATTTAGGTCCCGTATAGCCTAATATTTTAGGACATCGTGGGCCTTAAAATTTATGCATTTTACCTAAATAAATTTGCACGGAACTCTGATACCGTTCTAGCGACGCTATAATTCCCAACCAGTTATAGCGCGGCTTGCATGGTAACCCACTTCGATCGTTGAATAAAACAGCGATTTCACTGCTGAACTGTGAAGCCTCTTCGCTCGTTTTTGTGTGTTGGAATAATGACGACTTCTTGAAGACTAAGCCGACATTGACCTCGAGTTATAAATTTCTCTGTAGTTACTTTATAATATGAAACATTTTTCAGTACAAATTTTTAGGCCAAAGAAAGCCTAACATTTTGGATAGGGGTTTTCTCATATTTTAAGGCAGCCAATTACCTAAAATCTAGGCCAAAAATTACCCCATTTTAGGCCATTAATGGCCTAACATTTTAGGTCATACAATCCTAAATTTTAGGCCATTTAAGGACTTAGCTCCAGTTTTAGGCCAATTTTACCTAAATTCTAGGCCATTTTTTGACATTTTAGGTCATTTTTTTTTCTGGGTGTTGTCACAGCTCAGCGCTGAACTTCCATGCCAAGGGGTGCAGCTCAAAGCAATTATTTCGAGGACCGGAGCTCCTCGCCGGGATTTATGCTCGTTATTCCGTCAGTCGGGGCTATACGGATATGGCCAAGCCTTCTTTGCAGCGGCCCTCTGTGCATCTTCAAGCTGCATTCTCCGCCTGAATTATTCATGCCTTTTGTCGCTTGTTGTTGCCGTGCCTTTCGAGATGCGAGTCGCAGCCCAAGGGTTGCTGCATCCTTGAGGGTTGGCCTGGGCAACAGGCAGCGCCACCCACCCCTGCCCGCTCGCCCACACCCACCCCCCTACTCACACGAAACGTGAAACGTCTTTGGCTTTGTGCATTTGCCAGTTTCGAATACACAGGGAAGAAAACTTAACTCGTATTATTTTTTAGAATGCTTCAGTAATTAATAAATGCACTGGATCAAAATTTGATATGAAATAGGGTCATTTCTACCTTATGATTAATGTTAAACGTTATTAAAATACCACATTTTGTATTTTTGAACAAATATTGTTAACATAATAATATCATTTTGATCTTTTGTAATTTTTTTTCCTGTGCACACTGGGCCAGCCGATCAGATTTTTGGCCAAAAATACGTTTTTCTTTTTTAAGAAAATGACCAAATTGAGTTTGGGATCCTTTTAATAATACATTAAACTAATTTATGCCAAAGTTTCAAAGAATTCGGGCAAGTAGTTTTCTTTTACCATATTTTCAAAGTGAAAAATTCATAAAATATTGATGGAAATGAAAAAAAATTTATAAGTCAAAGATGCTGATGTCGCTGTTCGACTTCTTTCCGAAACTTGCACAAGGGATTATTTTCAACAAGTAAAAAATATAATATAGCTCGTATGTCTTACTTGTTTGCTAAAATAAATGTAATTGTTAATTTTTACGCTTTTTTTCAGCAAATGAGTACTTTGCTTTTCGAGTGCCTTCGAGTGCCATCCCCAAATTAGTTCATTCCTTCAAAAAAATTCGTTGATCAATTTACTAAAAGCGTAGCCCACCGACTCGATGCGGTTTTGCCTTAGTTTTCGGTAATTTAAGTTTTAATTGAAGGCTTAACTCGAAGTCGAGCTATTTTGAAGAGCTTAGCTAAGAGAGCCCAAGAGTATGCCATACTTTATTGTTTCAGGTTTTGGTGAACATTTTGCGCTCAAAAATTTGATTTTAGTGTGACTAACATCTAAAATCTACTTTTTACGTACACTAATCGATTATGGTATTTTCCAAACGTATATCTATCTATTTAATCAGGACTATGCAAATAAAAATGTAGCATACTTTTGTGATGACTTCAGAATATGTCAAATTAACATTAAACAAATCAAAAAACAATATTTTTAAACAATTTTTTTTACATAATTTGATTATATAAAACTTAAAAGGTAACAAAAACAAAAAAATAGAAATTTTTTTTCAATCGATTGTTTGATAAACGTTGATGTGGGAGCCTCCGAAAGTTGCACTTTTTAACGGTTCATAAATCTTAAATGACATAATATTTTTTAGTGATGTTAAATTTTTTTTAGTTTGTTTTATCTCATACTTTATTGTTTTCGAAAATGGAAGAAGTGCGTCTTCTAGTTATTTTTTTAAAAATAAAAAACCGAAAAGTACGTAAAATTTTCCGACTTTGGTCTGGATTATCTATAATTTCATATAAAATTCCAAGAAATTTTACTTTTAGTTCGTTGGCAAGTTCAAATCTTGTTAAGAAAAAAACATAAAAACTGCATCCTTCTAACTGTCCTAGGAAAGAAATTAATCTAGATTTTTGGCCAAAAATTTATCTTTCTGGCCCAGTTTTTTTGCTGTGTAACAATATATTTGCAAACTTTATTTCAAAGTATTGAAATTTTCCTAGATTGGTAATTTTATTTTTTACCAACTAAATCAAGTAATTACGATTTCTATTTCTTGTTTAACCCGTTTTTAAAGTATAGTGGTAAACAAATTTAATTGTGATTTCCATTTAAATTAAAACAATATATTTATGGGATGAATAATATTAAAATAAAATAAAAATTAAAGTTTGGAAAAAAGCTATCGGATATCAGCAATTTTTTATGAATAAAAACCATTTTGATGAGTCATTTTTTTTTTTTTTTTTGCCGTGTCAAATCCGTAATCCTGCTGTCAGGAAAGGCCATTGTAGCTGTTGCTCGCTAGCAAATCCGAAAGCAATTTCTGCAGCATTAATCATCCCCGTCCCCCTCTTAACCCCTGTAGCCCGCGGAACCCCTAAAAGCAACTGACTCGCTTATCTGCCGTCCGGCCATTTCGGGTTAATGTTGACAAAACGCATTTTAAGCACTTCAGCATTTGGCTCTTTCGTATTTTCTTTTGTTTAGCCGACACTCTGGTATCCCCAACCCCCCCACACATGTTCGTCTGTTTGATTGTGATTTGAGTTTTCTGCTGGCTAAATTTGCATTGGAAATGTGTGCAGGACGAAGGACCATCCATCCTATAGCATCCTATCCTGCCCAACAGGCCGGAAACCTTTTCCCAGCCCGATTGCAAGTGGCCAGCAGGGCAACTTTTGTCCAGTGGTCACTCCACAGGCTTTGTTTATAAAGCCAACCCACCCCCCAACCAACGCTTTTCACCGAGCCCAAGGCATATAGCTTCTGTTTTCCCTGCGTGTAGGCCCAACCTTTTCAAAAGGTTCTTTATGGCCCAGAACGAGGACATATAATCGAAATCTGGGGGGAGTTGATTAGGAAATTGGAAAGGACAACACTAACTAGATTTCAAAAATTAAACGAGTCAAAATGTGAGCCTTTTGTCCGAATAAATCCTTTGCCATCAGGCATCTCCAATTAAAATTGATCTAATTTGTTAAGTCAATATCCCAAAGCTTAGAAAAATAAGAAAATTTAGTGGGAAAACAGCAATTAAGAGATATGTGAAAAATATTTATGATATTTGTTGCCTTCCTAAACAGCTTTTTATTAGTTCAGAAAGCCAAGCTAAAGTTGGCATTTCTAGTTCATTAAAATAGATTTATGATGGAATTGATGCTCTTAAATCATTAAATGTCATCCAAAATCAAACCTAGTTTAAAATTGTTGGCCAATTTTCATAATTATATCACACAGCCTGAAATCAAATTAGTCGGTTAAATTCAACCACTAATTGCCCGAATTATTCGGAGTAATTTCCTAATTTGTATTCTCTGCTGACCGAAATAGTTGGCAGCCATTCGTTTCAGTCAGCAGCACCGAACCCGGCCAATTAATATTCATTTGAGCCAAACTCACCCGCTCAACACTTTCCAGCTGGGCGGAAAATCCTTTATTTAGCGAGCAACTTTCCGCGCTTGTTTATCTTTTTCGTTTCGTACTTTAGTTTTGGTTTTTTGGACGCGCTGGTTTTTGTTATTCCCCAGTTAGCTGTTGACGTTGTTTCTCCAGCTGCAAATGCACGACAAATTAACACAGAAAGAGACAGTCGGGGAGGGCCAGAGAGAGACGGGTTGAACAAAGAGCCCAACAAAAACTGAAAACGAAATGCCGCATCCTTCTAACGGAAAAAAGAAATAAAGGGGGGAAAGCCACGCCCGCGGCTTGGCCGCAAAAAATATTGAAAAAGTGGGAAAATGCGGAAAACTAAAACTCTGTCACTTGCTGCTCTGTGAGATTTGTTTTAACAATAAAAAAAGTGGACTCGGTAAAAAGAGTTTATTCAAGCAGCATAAACCTGAACACGCAGAAAAATACATTTAATTGTCAATATAAATTAATTAAATTAAAGATAATATAATAACTTATTATTTATGTACACATAATATAAATAAACAATTATACAAATCAAGTAAATATTGAATTTCTCATTAAAATGCTCTTGTATTTCCAACATCGACTATCGAATTTCGAAAACAGAAACACCTATCACCACCAACATCAATAAAACTATGTAAAATCTATGATAAAAAATGAAATAGTGGTTCCTTATTAAACTTTTAGGTAATTTTAAGGTATTTATAAGAGAAACCTTAACAAACAAAAGACTTTCTAAAATTAGGTCTAAGCTGGAGTTACAGTGCATCCCACATCCACCCTCTTCTCACCTTTTTCCGTTATGTGAGGCTGAACGCTCAGCGGGCCATGTTTTTATTGGATTTTTCCTCTTGTTTTCTTTTTTCCTTTTCTATTTTCGTGAGATTTTCGCACCACAGAAACACTGAGCCGACACACTTGTGTTAAATATTTTTTCTTTCTTCGCCTATTTGCGCTTAGTATTTTATGGGCTTTTTGTTTGCAACCCCCGTCTGCACTCCACTTGAAAACACTAAGCTACGCGGCACTGAGACACTACACTACACTATGCTACGATGGACCGTTACTTGCGAGCTGGCGCCTACCGTTATTTGCTCCGCACTCGCGAGCTTCTTTCGTTGAACTGGCGAAAAAAAGAAAAAAACACAACGCACACGCACAAGCAGACTTTGCTAGTTTTTACAGCAAGGTGAGCCGAGCTTTAATGGCCGCTCTCGCTCTGGCTCTCATCTCTCTGCCAGGCCTTTTCACTCCCTCTCTCTTACCACTTTTGGCAAAACAGCCGGCGCAACAAAAACGCAACGCCAACGCAACAGCGCCGCCGGCCGAGAGCTTCCAACCCAAAAATGGCAAAAACAAGCGGCGGCCATGGCCAACCACCCCCTTGGGCGTACGCCGGCTCTCTTTGGTTCTCTCTTTCTGTTCTTCCGCCCTCTCTTTATTGCGCATGCCCCAAAGCTGAGCTTCAAAGCTCCGGGAGAGCGGACATTTCGGGGGTGGATCGTCGGGGGTTGGGTGGTTAATGCGAAATCAAGCTACAGGGGTCGCTCACAATCCGCAGATCAACAAATTAATGGGGGAAAGAAATGTTTACAGGACTTAGAAAAATCGTAGATTAACAAAATATTAGTATACAAAGACATTAGCGGCTGTTGAAATAAAATAAGGGTAGCTAAGGACACTAAATATTATATTTATAGTTTTGTATACAAATAGTTGTTAAAAAAACCTATTCCTTTTCTTGGAATGCACTTTGTAGTGTTCTTTAACAGATTACTTTTAGAATCTCCCCTTTGAGAACCCACTGTATAAGTATATGGGATGGGCGGTGGCATCGAGTGGGTTGTTTTCATGAGCTGTCGCATTGCTGCTGCTCTACTTGTATTTGTTGTTACTGCAAAATGTGCACTTTGTTGAATGTGCAATGGGTTTCCTCATGCCTCTGTTATTGTTGCTACAACTGCTGATGTTGCTGCTGCTGCTACTGCAAATTGCCTCGCAGCATTTAAGGCGAATTATGAAAGTCTATATGTGGGTGCGTTGTTCACCCTCCGCCCCGAAAAAACCCTCCCCTTCTCACCTCTTTCCCCGTTTTCCCATTTCCACCGCAATTTTCGCCCCGCTGGCAGCCAGAACTTGGGGAAAACGCGCTCGAGGGACCTGAAAACGCCTGCATTTTAATTAATATTGATTGTAAGTTATTTTCTGTGGGGGGCAGCAGGTGTGGTTTTAATTTAGTTTTCAAAATGTGTTTTTGCGTGGGCCAACAAACAAGCACATAACCCACTTACCAGTGTGCGGATAAATGTTTGCCCATTACAGGGTACACAAAGTCAGCAGCCCCTTTCCCGCGAATCGGTATCATGCAAATTGAAGAGGGGATGATGGGGATGCCAAAATTTGCATTTCAATTCTGCAGTCGCCGGTTTCCCTTCCCCATTCCATTCCCCCGAATCGCTCCATCCCCCATTCTGTTTACCGTGCTCGAACAGCTTCGCTTTATTTTTTCAGCTCTGCTCTGCTTTAAGTGTGATTCAGTGTTGCGCTCGACAGCGCGGCAAAATGTGCACGTGCTGCACCAGCCGCAAGGCATTTCCCCGTGGTGAAAATGGAAAAGTGGGAGGGTTTGAAGGTCCTGTCCTGTCCGAACTGAAAAAAAAGGCCAAAGGGAAAAATTCAAAAGGAACAATTTAAAATAAACGATATTGATAAGATATGGCGCTCACACACTTCAGCGAGTATAGTCATACTTCAAAAACAAATTGTTTTGAAAATCAAATTGAATTGAAGTGAGGGTCTATGGTCTATGTCTGTCATGTAATGAAAATCAAACATGGTTACTTCTTAATGAGGTAAAATGTCTTGATCTTAAGTGTCTAATTTTAAACACATCAAATTTTGTGACTAAAAATGTGTCCTACATTCGACTAAATAAATACACTTTCTAAAACTTTTTCATTTGTCTGGCTTTAGATAAATCTTAAAGCATCTTGCCACCTAAAAATGTGAAAATGGTACCATGATGAAATCGTAATTTAGTTTCAAATCAGATGGCACTCTAACCTGGAAACTTCAATCGAAAACTTTCAAAAAGAAAGTGTGATAAGAAATGGAAAAACTAGCAAGGAAAAGAGAATTTGATCGTTCGCTTGTAACTTTGCAAAGAAAATATGTCCCAAAGCAAAAACTCGGCTAAATAGGACTGTATCCTTACTTCCCACAGAAAAAATCTGAACTTTAAATGAGAGATTGAAAACAAAGTTGAACTTTATTGAATAAGTAAATTAAACAAGTAAACCAGTTTTCTGCTTAAAGTCGGAGAATGCTTGAACAATCTTAAAAATAATTCAAACTCTCCCATAAGAATACCGTTGATAAAACTTTTCCGTTTTTAAAAACCAGCTGCTTTTGATAACTTTCGATAGCCATATTGCTTCCCTCCCTGGCATATCGATAGGTCGATAGCCAGCTATCGCACTCATCTGCCATCTCCAACGGCACGCACTCGATTTTTTCGTATTTTATTTGGTTAAATTGTATTTTCGACTGAAGGCCAGGAAAACGAGCAGCATGGGCAAACGGCGGACGCAATCCCTGATCGACTCCAATTCCAGCGATAGCGACAGCGAATCGGAGACCAATCTGGAATCGGTGAGTGGCGAGAAATTAGATGGAATCCGGGGTCCGCGCCCCTTTCTCCATATTGCGATGTAACGAAAATCAATGCGGCCAAGTGTCTGGCACTATATACATACCTAATAACTTGCAAATAATCCCCAGGACCTGATGTCGCTGGCCAAGAAGCGCAAGAAGCCCCAAACGGCGGCCAAAACGAGTTCCCGCAGCGACTCCGATTCCGACTGGGCCAACAACAAAGCCGGAGCGCCCGCCTCCAAGAAGAAGAAGCGGCGGAAGGCCAGCAAGGACTCCAGTTCCTCGGAGTCCAACTGGGATGACGACAGCCAGGATGAGGAGCAGCCGGCGAGGCAGAGCCCTGGGCAGGCTCAGCAGGAGCAAAAGCCGCCCGAGCTGGCCACCCAGCCCGCCCAGCTGAGCGAACAGGAGGAGGGCGAGGTGTCCGACAGCGATTCCGACAAGTCCAAGTCCGGCTCCTCCTCCTCCGGTTCCGATTCCTCTAGCTCCTCGTCCTCCAGCTCCGATTCTGAGTTCGACGATGGCTTCGACGACGACCTCATGGGCGACGAGGAGGATCGGCGACGTCTCAATGGCCTGTCCGAGAAGGAGCGCGAAACGGAGATCTACAAGCGAATTGAGCAGCGCGAGATTAGCCGAACGCGCTGGGAAATCGAGCGGAAGCTAAAGCTGGCCAGGCGCGGCGAAAAGAACCAGGAGAAGTCGAGGAACAAAGGAGAACGGGCCAAGAAGAAGAAGGAGAAGCGCGAGAAGAAGGCCAAGAAGGCGAGGGAAGCACAGGCGCCCGCGCCGCCACTGGCTTCCAACTCCACGCTATTGGATGCAGAGCCCAAGCCCAGCGGCGAGGTGCGATCAGGGGTCAGTCCCTTGTCCTCGCCCCCACTTGGCCGAGATGTGGCCTCCACATCGGCGGCAGTGGCCAGTATTCTGCCCGACGATCAGGCAGCCGCCGCTGGCGTCTCCGATTACTTCGATCACAAGGAGCGATCCAAGGAGCGCAAGAAGAACGTGGAGGCCAACAAGACGGACGACAAGAGGAGCAATGCCATGGCCCTGCTGAAGGCCAAGCGGGAGGGCAAGGCCAAGAGGGGTAAGCTAGCTAAACGTAGAAGGTTTCACTTCATTCTCACTCTCCCAACCACCTTGCAGAGGAAGAGGAGGCCAAGCGCCTGGCCGAACGGGATCGTGATGACGACAAGGAGGAGCTGGAGAGCGTCTCCGGTTGCAAATCAGCCGTGAAGCTGAAAGCCTCCGAAATCTACTCCGACGACTCGGGCAGCAGCGATTGGGACGAGGATGAGAAGCCCGCGGGCAAGCGGTCGCGCTCCAACAGCAGCAAGGCCTCCAGCGAGTCCGAGGACGACGAAAAGGTTCCCCAGCGGCCCGTTTTCATAACCACTCGAGAGGATCTTAACAAGCTGCGCCTGTCGCGCTACAAAATGGAGCGTTTCGTGAACTTGCCCATCTTCGAGAGCACCGTACTCAACTGCTTCGTGCGGATCAGCATCGGAAATAATGGACAGAAGCCTGTGTATCGGGTGGCCGAAATAGTGGGCGTGGTGGAGACGGGGAAGATCTACAGCCTTGGGCACCACTCGCACCAATCGCGGGCTGAGGCTTAAGCACGGAACCCACGAGCGGGTATTTCGGCTGGAGTTCATCTCGAACCAGGAGTTCACCGAGAACGAGTTCAACAAGTGGAACGAAGTGTGCCAGCAGTCGAACGTCCAGATGCCCACCATCGACCTAATCGCCATTAAGCAGAGCGACATCAAAAAGGCGCTGAACTACGAGTTCAAGGACGAGGACGTGGACAAGATCGTCGAGGAGAAGAATCGCTTCCGCAACCGACCCACCAATTATGCTATGAAAAAGACCTGCCTGATGAAGGAGCGCGATGCGGCCATGTTGCGGGGCGACTACGACATTGCACAGGATCTGGGCCAGCAGATCGACGAGCTGGAGAACCGGGCCTCCGAGCTGGACAAGAGGAGATCACACACCCTCAATCTGATCTCCTACATAAACGATCGGAACCGAAAGAAGAACGTTGAGGATGCGGAGAAGGCGATTTTGGAGGAGGCTCGTGCCAACAAGGGTCTCAAGATCTCGGATCCCTTCACACGCCGGATCACTCAGCCGCGCATGGGTTTCAAGGGTGCCAAGAAGGACGACGATGACATGCAGCTGGCACCGCTGCCGCCGCCGCCGCCGGGCAAAAAGAGGCCGAGCGAAGCGGGCACTTCGAGTGCAGGCGCCAAGCCAACAGACTCCAAGGATTTTAGCCTGTACTCACTGCATGACTTTGACATCGACTTGGATGTGCCGCTACCGGGTAAGTTGTTCTCCCTTTTCGTTGCTAAATAATGCTTATAGTGTTTGTTATCCCTCCTTCTTTAGTTAGTACGAATTCAGTGCCCAAGCCGGCGAACAAACCAGCTGAAACAGTCTCCAAGCGTTCGCTTAATCTGGAGGATTACAAGAA